TGCCTACAGAGCGCTATGGCGTGACTGATATGACATTTGCACGCATCTCCGCTGGGATAGTCGATGTCATGAGGCAGATGATGACCCGTGGTCCAGACGCGGGGGTGGCTGACCTCAAGGACCAGAGCCATCTCTTGAATGAGATCTACCGGAAATTCGAACAGGAGTACTTTCAGCACGCGAGCGAATCTGGGAATATTGCCTATTGGGTCGCAGTCACCGTCGCGCGGATGGTCATGGCCAAGATGACGCTCATTGTTTTCCTCCCTGCCCTCTTCTCTACCTCCAGCGAAAGCATCTCGGACGAGATAAGAACCAAGCTGCTGATCTCGGCAATTGAAGTCGCCGAGTACAATCATGCACTGAACGCCGAACAAGCATGTCGGCATTGGCGCTGGCTTTATCAGAGCCACACTCATTGGCATGCCATTGTATACCTCATGATCGAGATCTCACGCCGCCCTTGGTCGCCGATCGTGGAGAGGGCTTGGGTCGCCCTTCACAGCAACTGGCTGATCCCAGCCCGGGCCCCAATAGACAAGGACTTGCGCATCTGGATTCCTTTGCGAAAGCTGATGTGCAAAGCACGGAAGCATCGCGACGACGAGATCCAAAGGCTTCGAGCAGATCCACAGGCCGCGGCAAGGCTAGAGATGGGAGACCAAAAACTCCCGGTGCCGTCAAGCTCTGGCCCGTTTCCAACCGGGTTTGGGGTCGACATCTTCCGTGAGCGATGGCGCCAGCTCGTAGCGATCCCAGCGGAACCGGGTGACCGCGGATACGTGTCTCGAACTCCGGGCGCTGGGCTTGCCGACCTTCCAACGTACAAAGTTCCCCCAGAGCCACCGTCAGCGAGAACTATTCCTACAGGTACCTCCGGGGATCTGGGCTTTGATATGACGTTTGAACCCATGCGTCAGGGTATGGATGGACAGAAGGGAAGCCAAAATATAGAGAGCACCAATATCCAGGACCCTAAATCGTCAATCACAATGGGTGCTCCCGGCGAATTGGTCTCAGAACAGACTCTTGGGCAATCACACAATTCCTTTCCCACGATCCCGGAAGACTGGGCAGATGGTCGTACCATGGGACCTGGTTTCCACGCTTGGTTGTGGGCCGATGCCGACCCCTCGGTCGACGTGTTTTCCAACTGGGAGGTGGATTCCATCGATCCTAGTATGGACCTGGGCGGTGAGGTCAACTGGTACGACTGGATCGAAACTGCCAAGGGCATGGAGTGGGATGCAATACCTGCTCATAGCGCCAGGTAGATAGAGCTCAGTCGAAATCCCTAGCAGGTATCCGAACGGGACTGAGTATTTTTCAAGAAGTATGCTCGACGGGGTATAGAATGAGAGGTGGTTGGGGGATTGAAGGAAGTTCTTTGTCCGTATGGTCAGACCGTAATGGCCCGGTGGGCAGAATTCATTCTTGCTTCTTCGAGATGCAGAAGCCGTAAACGAACAGAGGGGAGATTGGGGTCAAAGACCTCGTTAGTCATCCTCTCCAAGTCCCTCTAACAACAAGGGCGACAGTCAGACATGCAGCCATATAGGTACTCCCGGGACATGGCAAACCCTCCATGACACTCCAGACGAGGCCGGCCCTCTATATAGCTAGTCAGCAAAGCCACTCAGCAAGCCCCCGATCACGACGCCGACGGGGACAAACCCCCAATGACCCCACTGCCCACCGCCAATCTGCCGCAGGCTGATGAACCCATCTGCCACGGCCACCAGCGTGCTCGTCCACACCATGACCGTCAGAGCCTGGCGGCTGCCAAAGTACGACGTCGACATCAGCGCCGTGCCGAGGGCGATGGTCCGCGCGCCCTCGAGCATCATGACGCTCTCGACGAGTCTCCCCTCGGGCGTGTCTTCGATCGAGCTGGCGCGGGCGCCCGGGTGAGGGAACTGGAACAACGCGAGCGCCGACCGCGGGTTGAAGAGCGCGTTGACGCCCAGGCCGAAGGCGAAGATGCCGAAGCCGCCAACTATGCGCGGGAGGTAGGGCGATTGGGAGACGGGCATGATTGTTTTCTTTTTGGTATACGGCGGTGTTTTATTAGGAATGCATGTATTGTTTCGCTTGGGATTGCGAATATGGGAAAAAAAGAGATAGGTATTACTCCGTATGTATATACGTCTCGAATACGAATCGGTGAGTATGCGATTGCTATAGATAATGACGATGATGTTGTTGTTGTTGTTGTTTCGTCGCTGATGAAAAACTTCCAGGAGAGTCAGTCAGTCAGTCATCTTGTGTCACGGTTGTTGATATAAGTTTCCCATCAGACGTCAAGGTCAAACGGGCGGGAAAAGCTTGAAGCGGCTCTATTCCTAAACCGTGCGCTCGGTTAAGCACGAGTCGTACAGAAGCGCAGCCCTTGACCCGAAAGGGTTGGGGGCAGGCCACGTCGCATTACCCAGTACTACTCCGTACAGTTACGTATCAACAGACACAGTTATCTGATATTGATGATCAACCCCACTTCTTCGGAGGCTCCTTGTACGGAGTAATTGATATATATATGCACATGCAAACTATCTACTCGCGCAGTGCCACGTCAGTGATCACCAGCGGCAATCTTACTCCGAAATCTTGTCGTAGCATACCTGGTACAAATAGGGACGTCGGGTACGGGGTTGGCTTGAGCCCTTAACCTGTTTCAGAGTCGACTCACAGAGAGACTTACGGTTGGGCGAAGATATGGGTAAAGGAAGTTCTCGGTGCATGGCGATCATGATCAAACCCCTGCCTCTTAGGATGTCAATACTTTGTACCGCGTAGCCCCTAACTCGCTTTGCCCTGTCTGCTCTGCCTTGATGGCTGCTGTTCTGGGGACCTACTTGGTTCGTCGAAAGGAGTGAGTTCCCCCACTGCACAGATAGTGTCATCGCCGCTTGGTAAGCAAAATCAAAACGCGGACCCTCGGACACTCGGACCCTTTAGCTCCGTATTATCATGGGTTCCAGCTTCAGACACCTCAGCTTGGGACAGACTGCGACGCGAGTGCCCTGCGGTGGGCGTGGTCGAGTTTTCTTCCTAAAGAGATAGGATATCAAGAGAATTTCATGCATTAGACGAAAGAACGACAGCCTCCGACTCCACACGGGGGATGTCCCTGGCGTTCCCAGAGGAGCAGTTTGTGACATTTCCGTGCTTGGGTCTCACTCATGGTCTATACAGGTACGGGCGGGGTGCGTAGAGATGCCGCAAAAGTGGCACACCTGATCTAAGCAGACCTGGCCACTGAGGTGATGGGGATTATGAGTTCTTCCACCGAGAGATCTTTGACAGTGACTATTGGCCGTCGTTGAGTTGGACGCCAACAGAATTTACTGGCATGGGAGGTCGACAGTTACTTGTGCGCATGCGGATCAGACGGCACAGCAAGCACCTCAATGGCCTTGCGTTCCAGGAACATACCGCCCATTCCTGAGATAGTTGAGGCGTTCTTTTGGGTAGCCCTGAAATATCATGGTCATAACAAAACGTCTGCTTCCAGATATCGCGGCCCTTTTTGCGCTCGAGTGCCCAGTTGGTATAGCACAAGCCACTCGAGACGTTGATTCATTGCACTCCAAGGGCCGTCTCCCGTACTCGCTACTCTGACTCTCACTTGAATCTGGAGGCGCACGCATGCGAAGGTTTCCCCCCAGATCCAGAGATCTTGAATTGTCATGTTTGAGCATTTCCACTTACTCCATACAACTATTGCTTACATGCAGAACATCACCGAAAGAGGCCGCTGGAGAGGTGGTGGGCTCCTTCTGGGATCACGGAGCGCGATGGCGAGAGAGGCTGGAAAAGCTCGTTTCCACATGATGATATTTTGTTCCTTTAATTAGATACCCGGCTAAACGGGTTAAAGAGCGCAGTTACGAGGCTGAAAGATGGCAGGGATGTTGTGGGAGAAGAGAAAAACGTGGCTGCCCCCCTTGCCCCACTAAGCCCTTTAGCTTATCCGAAAAGGGTCTGCCGCGGGCCGGATTGGGACTAGCGCGTCTATACCGAGAGACGTGGGATGGAAAATTCAACTCAGGGGAGGGAAAAAGATGTTCGCGCCCGCACTAGCTCGCTTTGCCTTTGGCTTTCAAACCTCACGGATCGCATGGCAGTCGGCCACAAAGGTGCGTCGTCATCATTACGTCCTCGGGAGGTACGCTGCACGAGGGACGCAAAGAAGAGGGGAGGTTCCGCTTCGATTCTTCCGTGGCACAACGGAAGAACAGCAGAGCGTATTCCTGGGGCTTTTGAGCCAGACGAACGAGTAGGTAGGGTAGGTATGAGCCCAAGACTTGCACCCGCTTCAGACAATATAGTCTCAACCATCTTCGGTAAGAGAAAGCTTGGTTCTGACATTATCGGTTTCCGAAGTCCCGCATGCGACGCGCCGCCTGTGGTGTCTCAGTCCATCTTAGCCTTGGCCGTTCTGGGCTCGTGAGGATCTAATCTCCCCTGTTGTCTTGTCTGATCCACGACTCAACCATCTCTCACCAACAACGTGGGCGCTCTCTCCATGCAAGAAATGCCTATGCTTGGCTTCTCCTTTTCCCTGCGCTGTGATAATCTCCTGAGCCGCGGCGCAAGCACATGATTCCCCAGTCGGCCGCGGTCTTGCCCCACAAGTCAAACCGTGCCCGTCAGCCACGGCTTGACTGATATCAGCTGTCCGCCCCTGTCTCCTGGAACATTCACATACCGAGTGGAGACGATCTTGTTTCTTACCGTAGAAGGCACCTCACAAGTGGTAACCCGTGCCCGGAAGTCATGCATCGCATCGAGTCAATGGCTTGCTTCGAGCGAGACCCCCGGCACCATGGCTCTCCCGACGTTGAACCGCCGTCGTTCACGTACAAGTTCAAGACGGCTTCCATCCTCGTCGGTCCTGTTCTTCCTGCTCTCACATTCGTTCTTCTCACCCGTGATCTTTGAAAGCGTTTGCTTTCGTCCTCTCGTTTTCATTTTGTCACTCCTTTCCTACTGATATTGTTATGCGGTCGCTCCTTTATGCGGCGGCAGTCTTGCCGCTGCAAACCCTCGCTTGGGGTGGCAACAAGGCAACAGATATTGACGAGATCGTGGTGGTGACTACAACCAGAACAATCACCGTGTGCCCTATTACAGAAGCATGGACTTGCGGACCTGAATATCCGACCGCACCATGGCAAGATTGGACTGCATCAAGTACCGGGGTAGTGTCAACAACAACAACCCCCGTTGGCGGCAACGGAGGCGATGGGCATGGTCACGGCGGCCATGATCATTCGGGAAGTTCGAGCTCATCATCATCTGGTCATCACGGCGGGGGCTCACACTCTTCTGGAGTTTGGACTTCGTCATCTGTTGGTCCATCTGGAAGCCCAAGCTCATCCAGCCCATATTCAAGCCCGACCTCGACGAGCCCGTATGGACACCCTACCTCATCCGGCCCGGATAGTAGCCCGACGTCGTCTAGCACATATGGCCACCCAACCTCCACTGGCCCCTCGGGAGGAGACTCGTCGTCCACCACAAACGATCCTCCTGCAGGAGGCTCGAGCACGACTTCTGGTCCTGCTGGAAGCTCAACCACAACCGATCCTCCAGTTGGACCCGGAACGACATCCAGTTCGTATGGTCCTTCTGGGAGCTCAACTACGGCTGATCCTCCTGCTGGGACTTCGACGTCGTCGGGTCCTTCTGGAAGCTCAACTTCGAGCGATCCCCCGGTTGGCCCCGGCACAACATCCAGCTCCTCCATTGACCCCCCAGCTGGTACCTCAACCTCGTCCACTACCAGCTCTGCTGATCCCGCCGGTACGTCCAGCACTTCTTCCGGCTCTCCTGGCACTACGAGCTCGAGCAGTGTCGATCCTCCAACGAGTACTTCTTCCGGCTCTCCCGGCACCACCAGCTCGAGCAGTGTCGATCCTCCAACCAGCTCATCCTCTGGTTCGCCGACTACTAGCTCCTCCAGCAGCGCCGATCCCACCAGCTCCTCAACCTCTAGCGCAGCTTCGACTACTAGCTCAAGCGCTGACCCTGTGAGCACGACGAGCAGCAGCCTCACTCCAACAACTTCGGCCGCAACCGTCACGAGCACCACCACTCGCAGCGCCACCACCACTTCGACTACTTCCTGCGCTCCGTCGCAGACGGTGTCTGCTCTAGCTGAGACTACCTGCTCTGACAATACGGCAGACGACCGTAGCCAGTGGTGCGGCAAGTCAGTCGGCGACGACACAGATGAGCCTTACACGACAGGAGAAACCAAGTCTTACACATTCACCATCACTGACGCTAGCATCAACTTTGATGGCACTGTTCGGCCGTCGTTTGCGATCAACGGTGGAACTCCTGGTCCCCTCATCGAAGTCAACTGGGGTGACACTGTCGAAATTACTGTCATCAACCTCTTGACCGACAACGCCACTACCATCCATTGGCACGGTATCCGACAGATTGGCACTAACGATCAAGACGGTGTTCCTGGTGTCACCGAGTGTGCCATCCCACCTGGCGGCAGCCGAACGTACACGTGGCTGGCGTCGACTTATGGAACCGGTTGGTACCACTCTCACGCCCTGTCACAGTATGGCGGCGGTATCCGAGGACCCGTCGTCATCCACGGACCTGCGACTGCCAACTATGATTATGACATGGGCCATGTCATGATTGACGAGATCTTCGGCCAGACCATCTTCCAGATGGCGTGGAACATTGCCAGACTCCGAGGACCGCTCCCTGCCGCCGTCAACTACATGGTCAACGGCAAGAACAAGTCTCCAGATGGAAGCACCGGACAGGCCACTCAATGGACTGTCGAGGCCGGCAAGAAGCATCTGTTCCGCATCATCAACAGTGCCGCTCAATCATCCTTCATCGTGCACTTTGACTACCACGAGATGACAGTCATCAGCTCCGACTACACCCCGATCGTGCCATACAAGACCACTAGTCTCTACGTCAACCCTGGTCAGAGATACAACGTCATTGTCGAGATGAACCAAACCCCTGGCGCATACTTCATGCGCGCCATCACCCAGACCGGCTGCGGTGTGCAGAACGTCAACAACGGTCTCGGCATCGCCAACCCTGTCTTCACCTACAAGGGCACCTGCGGTACCCCAACTTCCGAGACTCTCAGCCTGACCCCGGCGTCAGACTGCAAGGACGAACCATTGGCCAGCCTTGTTCCGTACGTCAGCAAGAATGGTGGCAGCGTTGACGACTTTACCGACACTGCTAAGCTCCTCCCGGGTGGCAACGGTGGCTCCCAGACCTTCGCCGGCTACGGCCCCATCATCCGATGGTACTTCGGTGGCCTCCTTGATCTTGCCGGCAACAGCGCCACTGTCCTGGGCAACCAGACCGTCAGCGTAGACTTTGAGAACCCAACGCTCAGGACCATGGCCGAGCTGCCTACCTTGTCATTCAACAGCTCCAGGTACTCCAACGCGGTGGTCCTGGACGGCCCTCCAGGCGACTGGGTTTACTTTGTGATCCAGAACAACTTCCAGACGTCCCACCCGATCCACTTGCACGGCCACGACTTCTCGGTGCTGGGCCAAGGCAAGGGCGTCTTCACGGCCAACCAGGTCTCGTCGCTCAACTTTGCCAACCCGTGCCGCCGCGATACGGCGCTGCTGTTCGGCTTCGCGGGTCCCGGCGGCGTCGCCCAGGGTGGATGGACTGTCATCGGCTTCCAGACCGACAACCCGGGTGCGTGGGTTATGCACTGCCACATCATCTGGCACGCCGACGGCGGTATGGGTCTGCAGTACATTGAGCAGCCCGACGCCATCGACGCCAACAGCTACTGGTCCAGCCAGGGCTTCCAAGATGAGTGCAACGCCTACACCACGTACGCAGAGGGCGGCGGCGAAGGCAAGCTCAGTTACGAGGCGGGTATCAAGAGAGATTTGGAGAGGCACAAATATGCTCTCCATCACGGCATGCATTAAACGGGAAGCTGAGGTGAAAAGAGGAGGGAATGCGCGGGTAATGTAGATCTTGCACACGCCTCTGCCCTTGTGTTTGTGTCTGTCTGTCCTGTCTCTTTGTGGACACAACATGCCCCTACAAACACAGGCGCAACACCAAACCGGGGGAGGAAGTTAGCAGTATTTGATTTGTTGTGATGTTTGTTGGGGTTTGAACCAAACACCGCGAAAGAGCACCAGAACCTTTGGAGCGAGAGCGGCAAGAGCACTCAAAGCGAACAAGACCGCACGAACACCGGGATATGACCATCGCCGTCATCGCCCAAGAGGGGTTTGGGGGTGTCCTCATATCCAGTGGTTTGCTTGGTCTCGTTCCGGTTTGGAAAGGGGTGTGTCTTCTGCGCTAGGCAACCGACACGAGTGGAGGAGGAAGGGGGGGAAGGAAAACAGGGTTGGTTTCTTCTATCCGTCTTGTCTGGCATGCAGCACATAATACGACCTCGTCCGGGTTTTTCTGCCATGCGGCACGTAAATATGACCTCGTCCTGGCTTCATTTTGACTTTGGTATTGATTTTTTTCATTTATTTTGCTTTCTCATACCGGGGTATTCAATTCCTCTTTGGTCCCGTTCGTCTTGTTACTTCATGTGGATGGAAGCAAGGCGGGAAGGAAGGGCGAGGCCTAAGCTGTATGTACTCCGTATGTATGTATGTATTCGATCCGACTAGGTACATAGTCAGATTCGAAGCCATTTCACTCATTAACAAAGGGATTATATCCGCCGTACATCATATATGTATGAGCTTTATACCATCCGCACAGGCACTTACACTGGTATCTCTTCCATCCAGAGTGTGTACTTCGTGCTCTAGACCTACCTCCATATACGTGGCCTTTGGAAGATGGCCAAGGACGATCGATCAATCAAAAGGCTAGGCCCGTTTGTAAAGGGTGGGTGTGCATGTTGTTAGCTACCACTGTTAAGCGGTTGGGTTTATGACTTCTTATACGCAAGGAAAGACGCCGTCCGTTGACTGACTAGTTGACCGACCCTGAGAACGCCAGCGCCAAAAGCCTGTTCCAAGAATTTATACATCTTCAATCCCTCACTCCGGTGTGGTCATAACGCCATACTTGTTCAGACATAGGTATCATCAACAGAAAACTTCCTCCTTTAGACATGGCTCACGCAGTAATAGTTCCAACACGGGAGACAGAGACGTGTGTTAGAGGAGCGCTAGTCGAAGCTGGGGCCTCAAGAATCAGCTCCTGTGACGCAGCAAGCACTTGTTGCAGTAACTCAGAAAGCTTGTCGAGCCTCTGTTGTTGTAATGCGAGACGCTTGTGCAGGTCTAAGCTGACCCGGTACCATGTGTCTTCGGTGAGAGCGACCGCCGTGGGCACGCCGGCAGTCTGGGAAGTTGTCGCTGGTTCCGGTCCGGCAACGGTTGCAGACTCGGCTGCTTTGCTGCTTGCTCTTTCGGCCTCAGGTGCTTCTTCGGTTTCCACCAGCGTGAAAGAATCATCAGCGGTCGAAGGTTTGGCGGCCTTTGGTGCCGCGCCTTCAGCCCGGGACTTAAGGACCGTCCGATCATCTCCAACGCCTTCAGCAGTCTCGGGAGCGTTCTCGATGCGACGTTCTCGTACCTCTTCGACAGGAGGAATCTGGTTGACAAGCGCCTGACCGGTGATTGGAATGCCTGCTTGCTTCATCTGAAATATGATTCTAGCCCATTTTGATGACAAGCAGCCGGCGGCATCGTAGGGTCGAGCGCGTCGTGCCCATTCCGCCCATGCGCGAAGGACCCTTTCCGCCTCACGCTCGCCAACATCGAACCATTCCCGGTGCTTTACGCCGCATTTGCAGGAGATTTCCCTTAATCTGCAGCCTCTGATCTCGAGTTCGAGGTGTGAAAGGCGTTCGAGATGAAAGACGTTGGGAACGGTCTCAGTCTGATATCCTGGTTTCGTGGATTTGCCGCATTTTCTCTCCTTCTCCTTCATTCTGCTCGAAACTTGACACCCCGTAGCACCGATTTTGCGGAGACCTGATGCTGTATAATAGTACAAGATTCCAGACTCCAAATATTTTGGCAACAGCGGAGATGTCAACAATTCACACATTGTTAGTTCCCGCTTGTATCGGACGAATTCGGATCCTTCCCGGGTGATAACATCCTCTGGAGTGTGGCTCTGTGCCGAAGTTCTGCGACCGCTGCCCTTTCCGCTTGCTCGGGCCCGAGTAACGGGTCCCTCTGAGTTGCCTGTTGTGGGCACTGGGACGGTGGAGGAAGTTTGGGGGGATACTTCAGACTCAGGCACGCTGTTGGTGGCGCCGCAGTCTCTCGCAAGGAACTGGTCTTTCGACTGGCGGCAAATTTGCTCTTTCAAGCCAGTATCTTGTTTGTCCTCTCTGTGCCATCTTTTGCAACATTTCAAGTCGAACGTTCTCAATAGGGCATCATCAAGTTCTCCATCTTGGAAACAACCACATTCGATGTCCTGGATCAGTCTGTCACTTTCCTTGCCGTCGCCTTCGTTGACCAACAGTGTACAAACTAGACCGTTGTCTTTTTGGTAACCACATTTCCCTCTCCTATCCTTCAGGTCTGAGAAGGTCAGTGGATACTCGGGCCTTGAAGAGGGCATGATCAGTGCAAGAGAGGTGGGATCTGAAGCTGTTGCGGTTGCCTGGGCGACAACGATCGACGACTTGGGCTTTCTCAGGAATTTATATAACCCGTCATCGTGCATAGTCTGCGGTATGGCCTGCTACGTATGCGTAGAAGAAGCACATGGAAGCACCAGTGTGGCTGGTGGGCCACAAATCACACAGAATCCAGGCCTGTGAGGCGTATTCAGGTGGCTCAGGCCTTGGCTTGAAGCAGGACGCCATTCCTTTGGGAGGCGCAGTCATGGGACCGAAGACAGAGGGTGTTTTTCCAATTGTGGATGAGACAATTGATGCGCGAGATGGCTAGCCTCTGTCTGCTGCAGCAGAGAGGCCAACTTCTTTTGCAGCTCTGGGTTTAGTTCCTTCAGAGCGACTGAGATCGAGGCTTCTGGACGGATAGAGAAACGCATTCAACATTTCCTCAAGTTGCCTTTTGAGTCTGTAATTGGGGTGGATATTGATAAGAAAAGCTCTTGGCCCTGAGCAGTCCCGGGTACAACACCATTGCACTTCTGTTCAGACCCCAGCTTGAGAGCACAGAGGGGAGGAATGACCAAGGCCTACCCCGGTAGACAGAGAGTAGAAGAGAGTCACAGCCACGGAAAGAGTTGCAAAACCAACATGGGCCAAAGGGGTATTCGTAAGCTCTTTGGCGCAGCTAATGCAAGCCATCCAATTGAGAACAATAGGCTGTGCAAGAGGTTAGACCGAGAACAGCTTGCTTCCTGAGGGAGATATATCTCACAAGCCGCTAGAACCACAAACTCCATTGAGTGATTCAAGAGCGCGTGAGTGTATTTCAGGGCCATTCGCGGAAACGGTTCGATTCTCGAGCCAAAGACCTTTTGTTCTCGACACACAGTGGGTGCTGGGACGGTGGTGACAGGGTTGAGACTCTAAGCGCCGCGCGAGGCGACGCCACAAGTCTCAGAGGTACATGGATCGTTAGGTACATTCGCGCACTCGGGAGGTGGCCGTGTTGCATTGGGTATGCACCTTTGTCACGAACCTCCAAGCCCAAAACTGAGAGCTCGGAGGATCATCTGAAAAGGCACTTTTGGCTGTTGTTGATGGTGCAGGTGAAAAGAGAGGTCGATAAACACTTCTAGAGGCTGGGCCGTTTTCTTGGACTCAGGCCACCAATACCGTGCGGGATCTACCTCCCGTTGTTCCGTCTACCCGCTTAACGAAGGTCTCTCAGGCACCTAGGCACACCTAATGCGCCTCTTGAGGCGTAGGTGGATTCAAGCAGCCCAACCCAGGGCTACAGGGAAGAAGAGGCACAGCTCTCGAGAGCTGGATCAGAAAGACTTGAAAGCCGTTGTGACGCTACCAATGCGATTTCCAGACCAGCTAACAATGCATCAATGACAAGAGTTGAGATTGCTGTAAAGTTCCAAACACTTTTTCTGACATCTATCCCATTGCTGGCATGGCCTCTGCGCCTGCCTGTTTGGCCTTCTTCACGCTCTTCCACTCCAGGAAGCATGCCGCGATGAACGAAATGCCGGACACAGCAACAGTTACGCGGTAGCAATCCTTCAAGGCATATACATATGCTTCAATAACTTGGCGAAGGTGATCCTCCATCCCGATCTTAGCCAGCACGCTGCGGATAGCAGTTGCACCCGTGTTGATGAGGAGCTGTGGGTCAATATCTGGCGCGTATTTGGCGACGCCGCTGACCAAACCATTGGAGAACACGGACTGGGCGACGGCGATGAAAAGCGCGCCACCCAGCGATTGACAGAACATGAGCAGAACGGTGCCCTGAGGGATGTCCTTCATCGGCAAGGCAGTCTGGACCGCCACAAGAGGGAGATTGAATCCGAAGCCTGCCCCAAGACCCGCGCAGATCTGATACCCGAACCACTCGCGGAAGGGCGAGTCGATCGTGAAGGTACTGATCAGGCCGTAACCGACAGTCATGAGCGCACTAGCGCCGATGAGCAAAGGGGTGTAATAGCCAATGATGGTCACCAGGATTCCTGCGAGGATGGAAGTAAAAACGGTGGAGAGCATCAAGGGCAAGATCTGGATACCGGAGCGTGTAGGCGAGGACCCTTTGACGCTTTGGAGGTAAAGAGGCAGGTAGTACATGAGGACAAAGACGCCGGCCCCGAAAAAGAAAACGAACCCACAGGCGGCCATCAGAGTACGTTGGGTCAAGAGGCGGGGAGGAATGGTGGCCGCTTCACCCAGACGCCATTGAGAGATGCCAAAGAGGACTAGAAGGCAGCCTGCACCGACGAAAAGGCCAATGATCCGAGAATTGCTCCATGCGTAAGTTGAGCCTCCCCACTGCACAGCCAACAACAGACAGATGATGCCTGGAATGAGGATTCCCGCGCCAACGAGGTCGAGTTCGAGAATCCGCTTGAAGATTGGCTTCTCGGAAAGTTTTGGGTCTTGAGGGATGTGGAGGACTAGCAGGACAACGAGTATAGAAAAGCCGCCGATCGGGAGGCTGAATCAGGTCATTAGCACGCATGGGAAGTAGCAAAAGTCAGAAAAACCCCTGCTCACTTGATATAGAAGCACCATCGCCAGGAGATTTTGTCAGTGAAGACACCTCCGAGCAAAGGCCCTGCGACACTAGCCAATCCCCACATGGCACCAAAGAGTCCAAAGACCATAGGCCTGCGGATCAGAGGGACTGTACCGGCTGTCGTCAGTGCTTGAAGATTGACATCAGCTGTCTTGATTTGCTTACGAGAATGGGCAATGATAACCAAGGATCCCGAGAAGATTCCACCGACGCCAATGCCTGCAATTGCCCTCCCGACAATTAGGGCAGTACTGGACGGCGCAACAGCACAGATCAAGGAACCCAATTCAAAGACGCTGATGGCGGAGAGAAAGACCCATTTGATCTGGAAGACCTTGTAGATGCGGCCAAAGCTAGGCTGTAGCGCGGTGCTGGTCAGGAAGTACGCGCTGCCATACCAGCCAATGTCGTTGACGCTGTTGAATCGATCGGTGATTTTGGGGATTGCCGTGGCAATGATAGTTTGATCCAGCGCCACAAGGAAGACGGCCAGGCATAGGGCGACGATCAAAGTTACGAGCTTCAGTCCGTGGGGATAGTTGCTGGTATCTTCAGCCTCAACTTCAGCTTCCACTTGTTGTTCCTCCTTTCCCATTTCTTTGGCCAAAGTGTCAGTGGTCAAGCTTGTTTCTTTCTCGAAAGGCGCCTTTTCAGCCATGTCGATAGACGGGGTCGACGAGCCTGATACGGACGCGCTCGTATTGTTTTGGGGATGTTTCCCCCGGCCCGAGGTTTCTGGTGGCATTGTTGTTGTTGGCGGCTGTTGGTCCTCTGGTATACCCATTGAGTTTTACGTCGACAACCCGAAAACTAGAGCTTTTAGCATGTGAGTCGATCAAACATCTAAGAAAGCCCGTATGTGCATGAGGCAGCGGTGGTATATATATGTACTAGTCAGTTTGGAAATCGCGTATCCAGTTCATCTTTGGATACGAAGGTGGGGGTTGGGATTAGCATTTGGGCGACAGTTACTGGGCCGGGGCCAAAAAAGCCGAGCGCTTTGACAAACGCGGGACGCTCAAGGGTTCAAGAATGAGCCCTAGATGAACCAGAAGGGGGAAAGGTGAATGGGAGCCTTCACTGAAGCGCCCGGTTCGGACGAAATCCAGGAGTGTCAAAGGGATTGTTGATCGAATACTCGGATCTGGAACTCGATGGGACCGAGTTCTTGACAAAGCGCGGCGCATCCTTAGGCCGACCACTGCTGCGCGACCATCACGTGACCAGATATCGCTTTTGGCTATTCGACATCGGACACCTGATATTAGATGACACCGCAAGGAAGCCGCCGTCGTGTTGGTCAGGGAGAAAGATCTGGATTGCGCAGTGCCTATTGTGTCCATGTCTAGCAGATAATTCTCCCAATCGAGGAGTCAAGCAGCATCAAAAGCAGACCAACATAAACCAATTGACAAAGACTCGGAAATCAGGCTGAATGACGGTGTTTGGTGGCTTTCAGATTTCTGCCTTGTATCCTGCCCACATGGTACAGACCAATCCGATTGTTAAATGAGTTTCCGGGGGGAATTCCACGTCACTCTGTTTCCCCCGAGCCACCGGTATGTACCATCATGGTCCCTCTCCATGTGATTCCGATGCAGCACTCATCTCTGCTCGAACGACTCATTAGCTACACTCTCTGCCTCATGCTCGCCCTTCAATAATGGATAATGGCCTTGAATCTCGCCCTTTTGACTGGGTGTCGCAGGCATTTGGACTTGTGCTGGGTCGCCCGTGGGTGCAAGTGGATATGACGTTGAGGGTAATGATTCAAGATGTTTCTTGTGTTCTTCCTTGGCCTGTGTATCAACTGTGTCAGCTTTTCTATGTTCCTGGAAGCATCTTGTGCCTGTTGCCTTACATATGGTAGACCGCAGTACGTGCACCAGCAAACTTGAGGTTTGTCCAAGTTAATAAAAATTCGTGGATGCCCTAGAGGGCCACCACCACCGTCACAGGCAACGCTCTTGCCCTTGACCCAACGGACAGGTTGCTTATGGATGAGCTCAATTGCTGCGAAGGGGCGAGGCTAGCGATGTTGGTCTTAGTATGTGCTTGCGCTAAAGATACTGAGCATCAAGTTACCTGCGTCTCCATGATCGTCTGTTCGAATCTCGGACCCGTCATCGCCAACTCTCTGGGCATCTGACTCCTTGACCACGGCTTTTCCCTGTTCGGAGCCTGCATAATTCTGGCTTTCTCTCCCTCCGGCACCATCTCTTGAAGGCGGCCATCTTGGTTACCCCTCGCGTCAACCGGTATCTCATTTGTCTGGGACACATTGGGAGTCAGTTTTCGGGCGGTAGGGTCGTTGGCTTGTTCGAAGTTCTCGCCCGTTCCAGGTCCTTGTCGCAGGAGTCGTGCGGTCGTCGCAATTTGCCTCAAAGGTACCCGCACTGTCTGAGCCACAGTTCGATGGATTTGCCACCTCATGGCCGGTGCGATGGAAGCCATGGTCACAAGAGCACTGAGAGGTTGGTCACTGTTTTTGTGATTGAAATTATTGACGTCGAGCCGGAGATGGTTGAAGCTCGACCATCGACCAATCGGAGAGCTTCATGCTCCGCAGTAGTGGTAGAAACTTCACCGTAGAAATAGGGTGGAGCACTAGGTCTTCACTTTCAAGGCAACGGTCGCGCCGCGTACTGTCTGTGAATTTGTAGCACCTCCAACATCCCGTTGCAATACGTCGTCTGTGAACCATCTCAAGACAAGAACAATACCAGGAGACATCTCTGGAAAATTTGCGACGGCGATAATAACCACATCTAGACAACATGGCTTCAGGCTACGATCGTGCTCTTTCCGGTAAGTCGCTCCGGTGCATTGAATGCTATAGCTAACAAACGCAGTCTTCAGGTACTACAGCTATTCCTATCCACTACTCTTGCTAACAAATATAGCCCTGACGGTCATGTGTTTCAAGTCGAATATGCTCTGGAAGCAGTCAAGCGAGGAACCTGCGCAGTTGGAGTCAAAGGCAAAGACATCGTAGTACTAGGCTGCGAAAAGAGATCAGCTATGAAGCTGCAAGACACACGAATCACACCCTCCAAGATTGGTCTCATCGACACCCATGTCTGCCTTGCTTTTGCCGGCCTCAATGCCGACGCCCGGATATTAATCGACAAAGCCAGAGTCGAGGCGCAGTCACACAGACTTACAGTGGAGGATCCCGTTACTATTGAATACATAACGAAATATGTGGCTGGTGTGCAACAAAGATTTACTCAGAGCGGTGGTGTCAGACCGTTCGGCATCAGTACGCTGATCATCGGGTTCGACAAGGGTGACAAAGAACCTAAGTTGTATCAAACAGAGCCCTCTGGCATCTATTCTGCTTGGTAAGTCGTCCTCTCGGGTTCCAAGGATCGCCGCCTGACTCTGAGCAGGAAAGCGAATGCCATTGGTCGGTCAAGCAAAACCGTACGAGAATTCCTCGAGCGAAACCACAAAGACGACATGGACCGCGAGGCGACCATCTCTCTGACCGTCAAGTCCCTGCTTGAAGTTGTCCAAACAGGCGCAAAGAATATTGAAATTGCCATCATGGCTCCAGGAAAGACAATCGAGATGCTTCCATCTGAACAGATCGAACAGTATGTTAAGACTATCGAGGCGGAGAAGCAAGAAGAGCAGGCGAAAAAGAAACCCGGAACGAGGGCGGCTGGCTCGGCCACCTCGTCTCTCCCGACTCGGCCGCTAGCTGAGGGTGAGGGTGGAGGAGACGAATAAAGAGACAGGGCAATACCCTTCAATCGTTCTTTGCATGAGCGACTGGCGTTGTGGCAATGAACCAAATCAGTAAAATGTAACCAAATGGTAGCTTGTTTCAAACGCAAGTTGCTTTTGCTGGGTGTCTGATGCCTGCGTAACGCTATCAGGGGTTTTGAGCTCTCCATCAGACGGCAGACGGAGAGCATCCTGCTTACTGCGGCCAACTCTGTTGCAAAGAAGAGAATCGTGTTCCGCTCTTGTCCTCCTCCGTCGGGTGTCAGCCCAACCGCTCCGTTCCTCCTTTGATGTCAAATATTGATTGCTGGTTCGACTGTCTCACTCTCTCGTCTTTGATCATTCTATCACCAAAATCAACTTTGACTCGTTCCCCATGTTAGAGGCAAGCCACTTACCTCGCATCCACCCTCGTATCCCCACTCTCGACCTTCAAAGCCGCCTTCGGGGTAACCGCATCAATGACAAAATGATTGTCGCAGTTTGGACAGTACTCATCACTGGAACGATCAGCGCTCTCCCAAAGCAGTCCTTCGTTACAAAAGCCCGTTGCAACCCACCTCTCCTCCCATTCTTTCGTGTTCTTCCGAAAGGCCTTTTTGCATTTCTTGCATATAAAAGTCTAGTTATACCTATTTGTCAGGCAATGGCAGAAAAGACACGGCAGGATGGTGTATGGGACGGATTGATGACTTACCATATCAAAGCTCTGCAATAGGGGGTGGTCTTCTTGTTCAGCATGGCATTCTGCACAGTCGAACCATTTCCGGCCTGAAGTGCATTGGTCAGTAAAAGGAATATCCAGGCGACGTGAAGCATGCATACAGCATGGCGAACGGATGGATACTTGAGCATTCAAGACATGTTTACTTCGACGGCAGTTAGTCTCCCACAGTTCGCAGCTGGGGACAAGAAACCTATGTACCACATGTTGCAGATAGATCGCACAGGGGCTTGTGGTATTCGGCAACAAAGATCGTCAACGCCAATGCGTACCAAGATGAATGTTCTTCCACTTCAGAAGACAACTCTCGAAGGTCATTTTGAGACACTGGAAAAGATGTACTTGTTAGTCCACGGCTTGAAAAGTCGCGCAAGGGGCGAGTCATATCTCGGTGCACGTGTTCACCCCCTGACTCGTCAGCTTGTATTTACCCTCTTTGGGCCAACTTCACCCTTTGCACTCGCACTTCGACTTCACTGGTTCATAGACTTCTGTTTGGCATTTTTCTGACTCTTTCAACTGGGCCAGATCTAGGCATCGTTTGCGATTCGAGCTTAGGAGATGTCTCTACTCGTGCTTCTCTGCATGAGATATGGCTTCGGCTGCCACCACCTCTTGCTGTAACTAGCCGGGGCAATTCACGAGCAGGCTGTGTCTTCCGTCGCCCGGTTCCGTTCAGCACGTTGCGTCCCTCAACTGCTGCTCTGCATTCTCTTTACTGACCACATCAGCTGGCTCTTGGGTAGAGATACTACTAAAACAAATCTCCCGACTTCTTCGGCCTCTCAGGATGCAACCACAACATCGGATCCTTGAGGTCAACCCACCCCAAGAACGGCTTGGAGAGACCATACCCGACGAGCTCTTGGAGAGATTCCGGTAGTTCCCGAACTTTCTCTACCGGATTCACCAAGTATTGGTTTTCTTCTTGCCTCAAATAACCCCTTGTCATGAACGTGCTATACACCAGACGCTCTTCAGGCACAACCTGGCCAGCCTCGTTGGGCTGATCTGTCCCGTTCGCGCTGCCACCATGGAAACATCCACTCAGTATCATGAAACCGTCGCCCGGTTCAAGCTCCGCATAAAACGTTTGTGACTCACTTGGAGGGCCTGCCGCATAGTCCCAGAGATGAGAGCCAGGGATGAAGCGCGTGGCTCCGTTCCGCTTGGTGGTCTTCTTTCCTGCAACGAAGAATCCGATCCCTGCGTCACGGCCTATCTCATGTGTGGCAGCAGCTGGGTGGTAGACGTGGTGGACTATCAAAGCAAACGGGTTGTTAGCCAAGAGACATTGACAGAGTCCAACGACAACGGCTCTGCGAACGTGAAGTGTTGCTTCGGGCAGGCAGGGAAACTTACTTGCATCATCACGATGCCTGGAGATTCCTCGCAGCTCTGGTCAGCAATTCTGATTTCGAATCAAGAAGGATGAATCTGCCTAGCTCGGCAGATGTGGCCGGCGATCGAAATGATTATGTACTTACAGCGCTTGATCACGGGCTCCTGGACCAATGCTGAAGACAATAGTATTGTTCAACTGGGGGGGAGACACAGAGACCTCGTTCTTGTCGCCAATCTGCTTTGGTGTCAGCGTCCGGCTGGCTCAAAATAAATATTAATTCGTCTCACCCAGTTCCAATTTAGAGTGCTAGTCAACAATGCATTCGTCACGCCGATCCAGAGCGGATGACCGACTATGCGTTCGGCAAAGGTTTTGGATTTGCTCACCATGCCAAAAGCACGGCGGGTTTCTTTGGGGAAGAAGTCTCCTATAGGGAATTTGGGATATCAGAATTCGAGTTATTTGGACCAGCATCGAATGGCGCGTCTGCAAAACTTCTTCCCCAGCCATGATCATTCCGAGATAATGTCCAGACCAGAGGAGGGTAGACGACAGCGAGTGAAACTCACCTTCACCTCCACCTTCGCCCCAAGCGGTATCCTTGTCCAACCAAGGCCGAGTATCCTTCTCAAGACTTGCCAGTTCCTCTTCATTCAACAGACCGCGAACGACTACGCCGCCGGCCACTCGAAGTGCAGCTACTAATTCGTCTACCGTACATGTTGAGCCGTTGAAGATCTTGACTTCGGGAAGAGGTGAAGATGGAGATTTCAATTCACCACTTTGGGCCGGTTGGGGCGTGCTTGTCGGCGTTGAGAAAGCCTTTCGAACGGGAATGGGAATTTCGACGGCGGAGGGTGCCATGGTGACGGTAAGTTGTTGAAACGCACAAGACTCCTAGCAACCGAGGACTTCGATAGCTCAGGGAAGGGCAAAAATATATGAAGTCAATATATAACCATCGACGAAGAATTGCTGGGAAGAGGAAACCACATCTGCCCAACGAGCATCCATTGAAGGCAGCAATTGTTTGCTGAACCCCGCAACGAATTCGAATCTTACCTACCAATTCCGTGCAACGCATAGGTAAGGCCCGAGAGTCACCCATCGCACCACATTTCGTCGGGGATCACAAACTCTCCGCGAGGAAATCTGACGAGCTGTCTTCACGTCGGCCTATTCGGGAAAGAGAGTTCTTATCAGTGTGCAGGGTCGATGTGGGGTTCCCAAGAAGCTTGGGGAACCATGTCTGGTCGTCGGGCTGAAAGAGGAAAGAGAGACATGCAATCTTGTACAGTCGATTTAATTTGACTCTGTGCATGTGTGTCTAGGCCCTGACTCGACCTACTCAAGATTCCATGCCCAGGCTCATGTCATATGACCACGGGGAGATTGGAAATATGCGGTTGAGACACGACGACTTTATGGCGTCCTCTAGGAAGAAGACATTACTGACTTCTTCTCTTGAAACAAATTTGAACAGCAACCGCTCCAAGAATCTATTTCCTCCCCATGGCCTTCTCCACCGCCTCAAGCGCTGCCATGACCTTCTCATCCATATTCCTCCTCCCGACAATGCAACAGCTTACCGGTGCACCAACCCATTTCTCTGGCTCATATAACTCGTAGTTATACTTGTCTTGCTCGTTCATCGGAACATATCCTTCCTCTTTTTTATCCTTCTCTACATCCACAAATGTAACCGGAAATATAGCTGCCGGGTAGTCCAGCAAGTTCCATTGGCTGGTATACGGCCAATATCTTGCCGTGTCATGTAACGGCGCTGCACCCGGCGTTGCAGGACAGATGATAACGTCAACTTCCTTACCGGAGTCGGCGGTTTTACTCCAGTGAGCGGCATATTCCTCGCGGTAGTTGTCTCTTTCAACGCACAGATCCCAGTATTCGTGCATGGTCCGATTCTTGACGTTCGGTTGCTCCTCAGTGATGAACTTGATCAGCGGGAGAATGGGTTCGTCAATCTCTTTCAGCGGCGCCAGAATCATTTCGCCGCCGTCTGGGAAATACAGACCCGACACGATATCCCAGGCCTTGTCATGCTTATATGGCTCCCAGTCGACGACTTCCATCCCCGCCGCTTTACATGCGTCGGCGACCATCTTCAAGGCCCGAATCATGGGAGGGTGGGGTTTGACCACTCCATCGGACCATTCAATGGCAATCTTGAGAGGCTCAGTGAGCGTTTCGGGGGTCCATTTTTTCACTGTGAGAGATGGATCATATCGCCATGGCTCGTTGTCCAAGATGACTTTCATGAACAAATTGATTGTCTCCCGGCTCTGAGTTAGTGGGCCAAAAGTTGCGAGGATGGAGTCTTTTCCGTCCATGGTGTGCTTCATCCCTTTCAACGGGATGCGTTTCGAGGTTGGCTTGAAACCATAGACACCACAATTGCTGGCTGGTGCTCTTACACTGCCTCCAATGTCTCCACCAAGTCCCTGCCAGGCGTTTAGCAAGATCCGCTCGCCGAAATATGGGAGTGATTGGAAAGGTGTTCCCCGGGGACAGAACGAAGGCTGCGGAAAGGGCGTGCATCGAGCAAACAATACGACTTACCCAAACGCTACCACGGAATCCAACAAGAGCACCTTCTCCGCCGCTACTGCCACCTGGTGTCAAGTTTCGATTCCAGGGATTGACTGTTCGTCCATAAATATTGTTTTCGCATTCAAGAGCCATCAAAGTCTGAGGCCCAGTGGTCCGAACGTAAAAGACGCAACCAGCATCATACAAATAATCGTTCAGCGGATTTCGGGCGCAAGGCTGGCCAATCCACGCCACGTAGGAAGCGTGGTTGGTCTTCCCATTCATCCCATGATGCTCTTTAACCTATTGGTACAGGTCAGTGTCTTCGCCGCTAACGCAACACTGGCTTTTCACTTACTGAGATGGGGAGCCCATGAAGCGGACCGACAGGTTCAGGGAGGGAGTCGAGATACTTGGCCCTCGCAACAGCCTCGTCCCACATCAATTCAGTCACGCAGTTGACCTGCAACAGGCACCGTCACTCAGTATCGATAGGTCAGCAACTCCAGCGCAGAAAAATATTGCATACCGCGTACTGAGCCAGAGCAGCCCTCCGCAAGAATGCCCTGGTTAGCTCTTCCGACGTGAGCTTCTTGCTCCGCAGCATCTGGAGGAGCTCAATCGCGTCATAATTCTGGGTGAGTTCATATTCACGTGGTGTGAGATACTGCTTTGGTAGATCTTGAGAGGAAAGTGGTAGAGGATCTGGGAGAGGCCCAAGCGGAGGATCAACTTTGCTCAGAGTCTCGTCGCGATAGTCGCGCGCGCTTTTTGCTTTCTCAACCCACGGTTTTGAAATCATTGTTGCGAGAGGAATGGGAGTGAAGAGATGGTCTGTACTACGTTCAAGGAGCCTGACTACTCTGGTTGGCAAGATGTAACTGACTTGACCAGTACGTCTTCTGTTGGCAACAGAGCGAAAGGAGGTCCCAGCTCAATGCCTGGATATCTACCATATTTCCAGCTGACGAAGCCTCCAGCCGCTGAAGCTGGCCCCTCTCCTGTGCAACGCGCAATGCTAAGATAACATCTCAACCTGTACAGAGACCGAGATAGACAAGAAGCGGAGTATCGCGACCGGCAAAAGGCCGCCCTGGTATCTGGACCTTTTGCACTGCTGTCATCACCAATGGCGACTCCGAGATGCAGATTAAAGGCATTCACAAATACCCAGGGACAGGAACGTGCTGTTTTTCGCTGATGTCGATCAGAGAACTGCCTCAAGGGAAACGCCAGGTTAGGAAAGAGAGATGAGGGCTGATCCCTCGATGCAGCGTTATCCCTCGAGTGGACCCTGTGACCGCACCATTGGTTCATCTTTATCGTATTCAGTTCCCCCAAACCCCTGGCGCCGCTTGCCGCCCTTTTACCATCATTGGCACCCGCTGCTAGGTGGCTGCGTCTTACAATGTCGATCTCCCGGTCTACTACCTTCTATCAAATCGTTCCGCTCCGCATGGTGAGGCCGGATCACGGATTTCGAGACGCACATCAGCGGCATGAACAAGGGGACTAGACTGCGGTCGATGTACGAACGAAGCCGATAAGAGTATGTTTGCAGCCTTCCGCTATCACTATTGGCCGCGAGCGAGATAATCAACTTTTGATATCCTTGCGTTCATAGCCTTCCCGGCAACGACTGAGCCGGGAGGATGACTGCGACAAGCTGGAACCTCTGTACAAGGCGAACGGAAGATATAAGGCCGGGAATGTTGCTCCTTTCCGCCCGCGTTGACGCCTGAATCCGAACTTCTCCAAGCCCACACAGTACGCGACATCGACCAAAAACCCAGGGTCTCCTCCTTTGCCAGAGCGACAAGCATCAAGTCGTAACCGAGCCCCAAATCCGACCGCCCGCCATGAAGTTCATAGAGCCTTCCCTAGGGAAGGGCAGGTTTCGGCTGAACAGACCAATCAACCAAAACTTCGTGGTCGGTGCCATCCTCTTCTGCCTCCCTGGTATCTACCTGGCATTGACAGGTCTCGGTGCCGGTGGTGGACGTCCTTCGTCGCAGACAGTGGCTTCCACAACCAATGCGGTGTTGTATGGACTGTTCTGCCTCTTCGGCTGGATCGGAGGCGCCATCCTCAACTTAGTCGGACCAAAGTTGACCATGGCCTTCGGAGCTCTTGGCTACCCTCTGTACGTGGGCGGCCTCTGGTACTTTGACCGACAGGGTCACTCTTGGTTCCCGTACTTTGCCGGCGCATCGCTCGGTGTGACCGCCGGCTGTCTCTGGACGGCGGCCGGGTTTGTCCAATTTGCCTACGCAGAAGAAGACCAGAAGGCTCTGGTAGGTTTGAAATCATGCCCAAACTGTGCCCGTTGCATTTCAATCCTGACTACTCACAGTTTATAACCTGGCAATGGGTCTTCACATCCTTTGGCGGCACTATCGGCAGTCTGATCGCCTTCGGGGTCAACTTCCACCAGACCGAGTCCACCGGTGTGTCGAACGCCGTCTACACTGTCTTGTGAGTCTCACGTGGCCTTTCTTGTTCGGAGAGAGACTTTTCTTCTTACCAGTTCATGGAGACAGCATCGTCATCATGTGCATGGCCATTGTGATTGCACTGGTCTTCATCATTTCGCCTAAGAAGGTTGTCCGCGATGACGGCACCCACATCGCCATCTTTACGCAGCCGCGAGTCGTGGACGAAGTCAAGGGTCTCATTCTGTGGTTCACCGATTTCAAGATCCTCGCCTTGATTCCCGGCATCTTTGTTGCTGAGATGAACCTCGTGAGTCTTTCCCCTCCTTTGGACCATTCTCTTCCCCTTTCCCCTTCTCGAGCACAAGAAAATGGCGGGCAAGACTCCCCCGCTCACAAGGAAATCAAAATCCAGGCTCTCCTCTCCAGCATCAACGGATACTACTTCAACCTGCGGACGCGGTCGCTCAACAATGTTATGTTCCAGTTCATCATGATGCCGTGTCCGCTGCTCCTGGCGTACGTCATGGACACGAATTATATCAAGTCGCGCCGGACCCGTGGCATGATCGGCGCCATCATCGTCGGCACGATTTGCCTAGCCACCAATGCTGGGCTGGCGGCGTGGATCACTCACAACGACGTCAACCGCCAGACCAACACTCCCCCGGGGGTCGACTGGTCTGACAGCGGGTTTGGGGCCGGGTTTGTTCTGTACCTGCTATCCGGTAAGCCTCATTGATATCAAGCCACCAACGATAGGATCCACAAGAGTCCCATCATTTCTCCTCCCTTCTCACCGAACACAAAACTTCCTAGCCACCCACTAACACCAAACCTCAAAACACTCTAGGAATCATCTATGCGACCTACCAAATCGTGGTCCAGTGGACGTTGGGCGCCCTGACCAACGACCCGGTGCAGTGCTCGCGGCTGGCGGGGCTGTTCAAGGGCACGACCTCGCTGGGCATGTGCATCTCGTTCGTGCTGGACTCGAAGAACGTGTCGTACATCGATCAGCTGATCGTGCAGTTCACGCTGTACGCCGTGGGGCTGGTGTTCCTGCTGGGCATTATCTGGTTCTGCGTCAAGGACACAAACTACTTCCTCGAAGAGAACGTCATCGTGCCGCACCGGTGGGAGGAGCGCGCGCGCATCGAGGGCCTCGTCGCCGACGAGCAGATCGAGCGCGAGCACCAGAAGGAGATGATCGCGCAGAGGGGTGTCGCCGTCGATGCCAAAACGGTCGGCGAGGTCATTGAAAAGGGCATCATGCCATGAATTAGTACATGGGTCGGTCGGCTGGTCTCGTCACAATGGCTGGCTAGCTGTTTGACTCGACGGCGGGACTGAGGAGAATGACCGGATTACATAGAATCAAGGGGACCATCCTAGATCTATAACTAGACGACTGAGCAAGGCCGTTATTGCTGGGCACCCATGGAAACGCGGCGGGGAGGTAGTCCCCGAGCAAGAAGCGAGAATCGAGCTGTACTATTACCTGCGGCAGTAAAGCTGGGTAGTCGGCGCCTTTATTCCAAGACAGTGGCCTTTGCCATCCCATTCTCAAGCAAAGTGGCCCCCTAGCCTCCCGTGCGGATCATATTTCTTCTTGATCTCCTTCAACAGGGGGTAATTCTCCCCAAATATCTGTTCCACAGTGAGTCAGTTAGTCAGTCGGGGTCAGTAATCGTGCGCATACATATATGGCTGTGCGAAGGATACAACTCAGGGGGCAGACATACCGCCTCAATATCATTAAAAGAGTTGATGAAATTCGGGATATAGTCCGCCTTAGTGTGGGTGGGGCTGATCTCGAAAGGGGCTTCCGCGAGAGCCTTGAGCGAGAGAGCATCAGACTCAGGGGAGCCTGGAAACGAGCCGGTGCCGAGCTGGAGGATGTGTCTGTTGGCCGTGTGCGGCCAGGCGGTGTCCTGGCGAGAGGAGATGGAGGAGAATGCGGGCTTTTTGATTTTTGCATATTCAGAATGATGTTGGAAAAACAACGGAGAGATAGAGAGAGGCTCGATAATACGTACAGTCTGCATGATCTCGATCAATACGAATGCCCCGGCACTCTGTCGGGAATCTTTAGCAAGCAGTTCGTTGAACCACTTCCAAGAGCGAAAAATGATCTCTTCGTCCAGGTTGGGAATCGTTGCGCCAGACATCCAACTGTTCGTCATGCCCATAGCCACTCTGAGGTTGTCTGGCACGGAGAACAGTCAGTGTTGAGTATAACAGACCGAGAGACTCTCACCTTGCTGCTGATTCGCTTCAGCGAAAGTCATGGTCCGTGTCTTATCCACTGCACCCTTAACTGCTAATGCCCAGCCGAAGCCTTCGTCGCTGCGGCCATGGGCTTCGCCATTGGCATCGTAGACCACGATCATGATGCCCGGAGCAGGATTTTGACCGGTAAGAGCCGCATGGGCTAGGTCTAGACAAAAGACGTGCATGGCCATCTTCGGATCTCGTGTTCGGCGTGTGAAATCCGACACAGCTTTGGCGAGTTCCGGGAGCGAATCGTTCGGGAAGACAATGTTTCCTGTGAAGATTGAACTGGTGTATTTGTGCACTCGCAACTTCAAGGCAACGACCACTGCTCGAGGGCGTTAGATATCTCAGGTTGAGAGGCACAGTGTGGGTGAACCTGCCGGCAAAGCCACCTCCCCCGCCACGAAGAGCCCACAGCAATTCCGGTTCTTTCGAAGCCCACAATACTCGCCCATCACTGGTGACGACTTGTGCGTCGAGCAGATTCTGCGGGTCAGAAGCAAGCCCGAATTCCGAAGACGCCCAAGAGATACCACCTGCTATAGTGCTGCCGCCAACACCGACAAAGGTGCATCGTGCGCTCAACGCTGATGGATATGAGAAACACAATTTTCGAGGGTCAGCGAAAGTTTCTCACCTGCGTAGCCCGGCCCATGTTTTTCAAGCTTCTGATCCACCTCTCCCCATGTCTGGCCAGCACCGATGGTGATAGTCTCGGTATAAGAGTCGAATTCGAACCCGTCGAACGCGGCCAGACTGATCAGGACATCCTTCGCGGAGCTTGAGCCAACGCCCCCCGACCTGACTGCAAAGTCCAATGAGGAGTCATTTAAATATGCCAAGACCCGTGAGAGTCGCTCCACCGATCTGGGGCGGACGAGGACTTTCGGATTCAGATTTCTTTGTGCTGCCCATGTTTTGGACTCTTCAATATATAATTGAGAACTTGGTAGTGCTAGCTCATCACCCTCCACGAGTGCCTGGAGCTCGGAGACCCAAACATGGGATGCAGCCATGTTGGAAGTTGGAATAGCGGACGAGAATGAGCGTGCCTCAAATCACGATATGTCTTTTAGGAGGAAGTACTGAAAGACAAATCTTCCGGGAGACCAGACATCTTTATATGCGAGAGGTGGCTCAGAACACCGATTACCTGCATCCACTTACCTTGCCCCATGACGGATGCATATTACACCAAGCGGATTGAGTGGCGGATGTAAGGTCATGATCAATAACCTGAAACGAGATCACTGAAATGGATCTGGGACTCTGCAGCTTGTCGAGACTGGAGTTTGGGTGGTAACGGCCAACCCCAAAACGGCAAAACGATTACATTCCGCAGGATGCCTAAGAGAGAAGCGGGTGTCATTAGAGGGATGGATAGTCCCAACGGCAAGATCGACGGTACGATTGACGCAAGACATGAGCGGAGAGACGGTGTATGCACGGCATTGTTGCATTCGCAAGGGCAACTATGTGATAGCATGGCAGAGGGTAGCTCTAACATTGAGCAAGGAAGTCGAGGTGAAGAGCGGACGGGGAAGCCGCGAGTCATATCTGGATCACATGATCTAATACACGATTCAGAACACACAGCGATCTGATTGGTCGGCCTGGTATGGCCTGGATCTAACTAATCTCTGCGTGCGGGGCTGCTCTTATCAACCTACTTGATACGCCTTGGTACCTATCAACCACTCAGTCCGGACCTGACGACTCCATACTTCTTCTCGTCCTCCCCAGCCTCGAGTGTTACCAGGGCAATCATGTCTGTAACCACCTGTTCGACCACGGCGACGCGCTTGAATCACTTGACCGGTAAGAGGACCAACTCGTTAGGGTGGGCCAAGTCCGACTGCCACACGTGCTCCTCGCTCCGCCGTTCTTGTGATCGGCGGCGGCCTCGGTGCAGTGCCTGTCTTGCTGACGGCGTGATATGTGCCGGCTATGTACAACAACTGAACTGGGAGAGAGGTGCCTTGAGAGTTGGGAAACGGCGACCCAAGGAGTTGTCCGAAAGAGCCCAAGACGTCCAACCGGAGGAACCAGCTGTGCCACTCCCTCGGCCTTCGACCTACACCTTTGTCGACCAAACCGTGTCACAAACGCGATCGAGACGAAGATCGAGGAACAATTCGAGATCAAGCGAGATGAGTATTGCGGTCTCCAACGCTGCAGAATCCGTGGTCGGCACGACTGTCTCGAGTGGCGCAGAATCTGTTTCGTCTGCATCTCCATCCTCGACCTGGTCGGCCATAAGTCCCAGCACGCCTCCTCTGGTTGACAGTGGCCATCATCACGAACTCATTCTCTGCCCGCAAGTGAGCCGTCACCCGGGAGATATCGAGTGTGCGTTATCGTTCTTCCATTCCTGCTTTGCCAACACCACGCTCACCTTCCCGGTGAATGTCAACCCTTGGCGGGCCTGCCTTCCTTCAATCCATGACGACTTCCCTTCGGTACGCTATGCCGCCGCGGCTCTCGCCAAGCGTCAACAAGCGCACTTTGACAGAAAACCTGAGAGTTCTTCGATCTTGCGCCTCAAGTCTCAAGCCTTGTCCATCTTCGCGTCGCACCTGAACGATCTGTCTTTCGAGTGTGGCCTGAGTACCGTGCTTCTGCTTATCGGCCTCGATTATGCCGAAACAGGTGTGTCTAATTGGAACATCCACTTGCGCGGCGCATACCGCATCCTTGAATCTCATGGCGGCATCCGCCTGGCGGAGTCACGGCCAAACCTTCGAAGTCAGATCGCCATGTTGATCTGGTACGATGTCAATGCTGCGTTGATCTCCAGGTGCGGACCTACGTTTCCGAGGAGTTATATCGAGGCCCTCATGGCATGGCAAGACGATGGCGAATGGAGCATTCTGGGTCTCAACGGTCTTCCGGACGGCATGTTCCTCGACATGCACGGTCTCGCTGTTGCAGCCGCCCATATCGAATCTGCAGACCCAGAAGCACTTGAAGTCTTTCGGAAGAACATTCTCAGTACCGAGATCAGCATGAAGCAGGGGAAATATCAGGCCCTTATGTCCGAAGTCTGGCGGTTGGGCCTCCTGTTATATTTTGCCCGGGTGTTTCCGCAATTCCAAATCTACGATGTGGCGGCAACAGATCACCTCGCTGTCAGAGACACGTTCACGATGCTCGACCATAGCGCCGAGTGGGACCTTGAGCCACACTCGGTGGCTGTTCAGATTCTCGCCATGGTGGCAAACATTCCCTCACATAGCAACTTCCAAAAACAGTGCCTGATGCCCATTGTCCTGGCTGGGTGCGAAATGTCAAGTGCCGAGTGGGTGCTTAGGAAAATCGCCATCGAGTACTCTGAGCGGTGGAAGCAGAAAACAGGGATCTGGATCTTTGATTCGGGCCTAGAGTTCATGAGAGGTGTGTGGGCAAGGAATGACATGGCCATGCTCGGCAAAGCAGAGGATGAAGTCGACGGGTCCTGGGTGCCCTGGACAGAGATATACCCGCCAAGTGCTGAATATGGCTTTTTGTTTGGATGATAAACACGAAGTGGGTTGGTCAGAAATACGCTAACCATCATTTCAAGGATGTAAGGCACACAGCATTTGTCAAGCCGGTCCTCCCCCCCCCCCTCCCCTCCCCCCGAGACAGACCTCATCAGGTCCCTCGCGACCTCATTTGGGGGGATTTGAGTTGTGATGCCCTGCTCCACGGTCTCGACATTCTCGTCAAACCCTCTCAACACTTTTCAAAAGACAATGGGCAGCACCAACATTGTCCTTGTCTCGGCAAAGAACAAAGACGCGCAGCAACGGTGTCATGAAGAAGGTCGCAGAGGATATGCACGTGTTGGAGGAACAGCCGAGCGGAATGGTAGCTCAATCAAGAACGAACTGAGCCTCTGATTGAGCATCGTGCATGTACTCATGGTCGTGCAAGCGGCATATATTTCGAGATGTCGAGCTGAAAGTCCGTCTCGGGAGTTGCGGGAGGTCTAGTCCACCGACGAAATGGTACGGGGCTATCTA